CAGGAGGCGGTGGGTGTGCGCAGGCGTGCGCAGCTAGCGTTGGGGCCCCTACGTGTCCCGGAGCGGGGGCGTGCTCGCGCGTGTGTGTAGGCGGGTGTGCGCGCACGATAGGGAACGTTCTGTACTTTTATGCTTGAAAATTGTTCTAATGAAAAGGAAAATAATTAAGCCAAGGCGATCATCCCAGAAATAAAGGGCCTTTGGTAGAACTATTTTCATCTCCCTTATTAATTTTAGAGCCGAAAACTACACTTTGTTCCCACATTCTTCTCAGTGCCCCAGTCCTGTTCCAAACCAAAGCCTTCCCCGAAGGTTAAGAGCCAGACCCTCGCTTTCACATATTAGCAAGTCCAAGGAGCAGCTTCTTTCCTCTTCCCTAGTTTCTCCCCCTTCCTCCCTGCTTCCCCACTCCCTCCCTTCCTCGCAAAGTTGCGTGCAATTCTCCAGACAGACAAAATTTTCTGCTGAGAGTATCTATATAGACAGCCTTCCCCTCCACTATGGACTCTGAATGCCTTTGGGGGCAGAAGCTCTCTTACCTTTTTGTCCCGATCTTCAAGCACCGTGCCCTTCAGGCAACTACGCACTCAGTTAATTTTCCAGAAAGTTCTGAGTGAGGTTTATACCTCTTGAGTCTGCCACCAGATGCCGCCATATCCCAGCAAAGGATTGGCTGTTAGGTCCCTGGAATGATGGGATTTTCTTCTCCCCCTTTCTGATTTGCTGAACTTTTCAATGTATAGGGCTATAAATATCTTTCATTGCTAGGGAAAAATCAAATTAACTTCTATAAATAGCCCTACCAGGCAGAGAACTAAGGCCCTAGATCCAAATGTTTTTCCTGATTTCTTTCCTTCTTAAGAAAAAGAACACCCCCCCGCTCCAATCCTTTTTTCTTTCTTTGATTTTTTTTGAGGGGGCGTCAGAATTGATTAATGACCCCAGGCACTGATGCTGATGAAGATTCTAACCCTTTATGTGCACCTTTTCAAATGCTGCTCCT